TCAACATAAAATAATTTTATAATTATTAAAATAATTATATTAGAAATTTATAGCATTGTCATTTAATCTATTTTATTTATTACGAGGAGAAAGAATTTCAAATACGTTTTTTATTTTTTTGAATTATAATATTTGATGGACGTACCTTTTAATTTTTTCTGTATATCATGTTTAATTATATTTTCAGGAAGGACAATATTTAACACACAAATAGGCTGCTGAGGTGGTTCTCCTTTAGCAACTTTTGGTTCTCGCATGAATAGCATTCTGGCTACTGGATCCAGTAACGGATCTTTTACTTTAACATGGAATGATAATCGATTCTGTCGGAAAGCCCTAAATGTGAACTTCAATTGCATGCCAGATTTTGTTACCGGTACTAAGTTTCCACTAAATTCAATATAAAGATCTTTCCCGTCAAGTGCCTATTAAACAAATACTTGTAAATCATTAAATCTAACCAATTAACATATTATATTAATATTTTTCAAATAATGATTTTATTTTATGTATTCGAAAAATGTATTATTACTAAAACAAATAAATATATCAATATATCAATAAATATATCAAAATACTCCTTTTATATTCAATATAAAAATAAAGAAATAAATAAAAATGATATCTAGTAAAAGACCTAAAAAAAATTATATATCCCATAAAGTTTATTTTTAAAATAGTAAAATATTTTCGAGATAGTTTAATATGTATTGTTCTATATTATAAAAGTACCTCAACATCGCGACTTTTAACGATTTCCGTAAATTCTTCTTGCCTTTCTAAAGTGTGCATGCCTTCCTTGCCATCGGTCATGCACAATATTCTCAATGTGGCTTCTAACACATCCATTCTCTTCGAGTATATTATAAAACTATAGAAACATTTGTATATCAAAATTAGAAAATTGTTGTTCTTATACGTATAATATACGTATAAGAATGATAGAAAAACTCACTTGGTTATATATGGCACATGTAAGGATGCCTCGTATAACTCCGTTGCCATTTTTGGTACTGCACTGATATTTCTGCAATCCATCAACCAGAATCTTGCTGAAACAGTAGTGGTGAACGACACTCTATCATTCATAAAGGTTAATGGCGTTGATCCGGTAACGTCTTCCCATTGTGACTCGTTCGTCCCACCTAAAGTTAATTTTTCATTTGAAAAACAT